AAAACCCAAAAACCATTTGGTTAAAATCAATGCCAATAACCAATGCCGAAAACCGAACGCCATAGCCGAACGCCGATAACCGATGGTTATGGTTTTGGTTAAGCAAGAACCATGGGTTTTAGAAACTTAAAAACCATTTATGAAAACACTCATTTGATGCATGAAAAACATATTTTGTTTTGAGCCATGACATAGAGAAATTGAATGAGCTTGTTACAATAAAAACCTAAGTATTTAGAATACGTCTTCAAAGCGCCAGTGTTGCCATCTTTAGCAATGTCAATGCCGTTCTTGTGCTTTTTGTTTCTTCAAAGAACTTTTTCTATCTTTTCATTTTGTTCCATGTTCCCGATGGTTTTTCAATATCAAAACCTAAACGGAAACGAGCATTGTCATTAGCAAAATGTCAAAGTGAAAATGTTTTCCAACATATCTGGGCTACCAATAGATCTGAGTTGTACCAGATGTAGAAAATTGTATTGTCTGCTCCCCCTCGCTTATATCCTTCCTCGATAAGGTAGGTGGTTAGTCTTTTATACCATGCCCTTGGGGCCTGCTTTAGCCCGTACAATGCCTTGTGGAGTTCGTATACATGGTTTGGATACTTTGCGTCCTCGAACCCTTTGGGCTGTGCCACGTACACTTCTTCTTTTAGATACCCGTTTAGGAAGGCGGTCTTCACATCCATTTGATATAGTTTCATGTCCAGGACACATGCCATACTAATGAGCATTCGTATGGACTCAAGTCGTGCTACAGGTGCAAATGTTTCTTCAAAATCTATTCCCTCCATCTGTGTGTATCCTTGAGCAACTAACCGAGCCTTGTTTCTGATAACATTTCCTTCTTCATCGGTCTTGTTTCTGTAGATCCACTTTGTGCCAATAACATTTACAGTGTCTGGTTTCGGAACTAGCTCCCACACTTTGTTTCTCTCAAATTGCTCCAGTTCTTCGTGCATGGCATTTATCCAAGCTGCATCTGTTAAGGCTTCTTTGATATTTTTGGGCTCCATGGATGACGTGTAGTAAGCCTTTGTCATATGTACGAAATCGATCTTCTTCTTCCTTGTTCTTATTCCTTCAGTGGGTGTGCCAATGATGTTTTCCGGTGGATGACTCTTCTGAATGTGAGTTGGGACGCTGCTAATGATGGGCATGTTTGTTTGAATATCTTGCTCATTTTCACTTTCTGTTTCTTCAGCTTCTTTTTCTTCTTCAGTCCCTTCAATGCGAGTTAGTGGCTCTATTTGATCATCTACTGGTTTTTGAGAGACCTGGTCGTCTACTACGACCATTATTGATTCCATGATGGTTTTTTTTCGCTTGTTGTATACTCGAAAGGCCTTGCTGTTTGGTGAGTATCCAACAAAAATAGCTTCGTCACTCTTGGATTCAAATTTTCCTTTTTGTTCTCGGTCTCTTAAAACATAACATTTTGCTCCAAAAATGTGCCACTTGGGGTTCTTCCTTTCCATAATTCATATGGTGTAGCCTGCGTTCCGCTCCTGAGATACACTCGGTTGATTGTGTAGCATGCTGTGTGAACTGCCTCAGCCCACAAATTCTGTGGTAAGTTGTGAGTATTGATCATTGTACGGGCCATCTCCTGTACGTGTCGATTTTTCCTTTCTGCTACTACATTTTGCTGTGGGGTTTTTGGTGCTGAAAATTCATGGCTTATCCCGTGGAGATTGCAGTACTCTTCAAATGGCCCATTATCAAATTCACCTCCATGATCACTTCGTACTCGCACTACTTTCCTTATTTTCTGTTGTTTTTCATTCTGAACCTTGTTGCAGAGTGCCGCAAAAGCATTCAGTGCATCATCTTTGTGCTTTAGGAAGCTAATCCATGTGTATCTGGTGTAGTCATCCACTACCATGAGAACAAACCTCTTTCCTCCTATACTTTCTATCTGCATAGGCCCAAATAGATATATGTGCAGCAGTTCCAGAGGTCGTTTGGTTGTTAGCATTGATTTCTTTGGGTGGCTCTTTCTAATCTGCTTTCCCTTCTGGCAAGGTCCACACACTTGATCGTCAGTCTGTGTGATTTTTGGCAGCCCTCGAACTGCTCCTGAGTTTGATAGCATCTTCAAGTCTTTGTAGTTGATATGCCCCAGTTTATAGTGCCATAATTTGGTTTCTCTTTCACTTGCAGCATAACATAGGATATTTGGAGTCACTTTGTAGCAGTTGTCAGCAGTTCTATCTCCCTCTAGTACCACCAGTTTGTTTCTGTCCTTGATGCGACATTTCTGTTGTGTGAATACCACTTCAAGCCCTTGATCACAAATCTGACTAATGCTCAAAAGTTTCACTTGCAGTCCTTGAACTAGCCATACATTCTTGATTGGTGGAAGTCCAGATACATGCAACGTTCCATTTCCGATAATCTGTCCATGGGCGCCTCCACCAAATCTTACATTCCCTCCTTCAATGGGTTGCACATTTGTCAGATTCTCCTTGTCTCCAGTCATATGATGAGAACATCCACTGTCTAGGAGCCACTGATCAGGTGTGACTCGATAGCATTGATTTGCACAAGAGGCTTGGTGTTTGGGTACCCATTTCATTTTGGTCTTGACATGTCGAGTTGCACCAGCTCTTCTTCTCTTTAAGTGTTTCAGTTTGTAACATTGACGTTTAATGTGTCCTTTTTTCCTGCAGTAGAAGCTGTTGGCCATGTGTGCAGCAATTATCCCGTGGCAGAGGCTATGTGGGCCAAGTCACAATCGAATGTCGTGGGCGCTTGTGTGCTGAATGCACTATAAGGCTAAGGTATGCGCCTCTTCTAACACCAATTGGTTTTAGAAGAGTTGGTAGCGCCTGAGGTCCTACAAGTGGTATCAGAGCCAAGGTCACGAGTTCGATTCCCAGCGGGAGCAATTGTTGAGGGGGAGATTGTTGGCCATGTGTGCAGCAATTGTCCCGTGGCGGAGGCTATGTGGGCCAAGTCACAATCGAATGTCGTGGGCGCTTGTGTGCTGAATGCACTATAAGGCTAAGGTATGCGCCTCTTCTAACACCAATTGGTTTTAGAAGAGTTGGTAGCGCCTGAGGTCCTACAGAAGCAAGTATAATTGAAATAACGATTCAGAGAATAAGTTTTCCTTACATGATAGTCGGAATGCTGAATCACTTTCTCCTTGCCCTTGCTTGAGTTGTGTTGAGGAAACTCCTTTGTATCTGGTTCTTTGGTGAAGTCCCTTAATTCGTTTGTGAACAGGTCCAGTGGAGTCTTACTGCCTTCAGATGCTATGTGTCCAATTCCAGATCTGTCCCCATAGAATTTTGACGTGCTCACCATCTCCTCGATCTTTTCAGCTCCTGCACTCTTCATCCACTTTTGATAGCTTTTAAGTTGAGTGAGTTCATATTTCAGATCAGACTTCTCTCCTTCAGTTTGGTTCAGCTGCTGCTTGACTTCATCCAGTTTCTTTCGAAGATCATCAACTTCTGCTGCCAGTTGATTCTTTTCTAAAATGTTCTTTCTATGAATAAGAAGAAGCTCTGTCCACTTCTCTTGGAGTACTGAGAGTTGTTCAGCTGCATCCTCAACATTTTCTTCTTCATACTGGGTGACAAACGCACAATTGCTATTCCCCATAACATCTTCAGTTTCTTCCTCATCATCACTCCATGTTGACATGAACGCTTGCCTCTTCTTTTTGAGATTATTAGCACATTCAGATTGGATATGACCAAAACCTCCACATTCAAAACACTGCGGCCCCTTTTTCCTGAAATCATCATTTGAAGGTTTTGTCTCCCTTGGTCGTGCACTTCTGAATTGTATTCCTTTGGAGGAATCACCCTGGATGTTGTTCTTCCCTTTCTTTTGTATCCATTGATTTTTGAACTGTTTAGTGAAAAGTGACAGTTGCTCTTGAAAATCTTCATCCTGTGCAGTATCATCCTCATTATCCTCTTCGTCAGCCAGGCTGTGAAAAGCAATTGACTTTTCATTCTTTTTCCGTTTGATCTCTTCATTCATTTGCAGTTCAATAGTCTCTAGATTCCCCATAAGTTGATCTAAAGTCATATTCTTGATATCATGTGCCTGACGAATTGCTTTGGCATCCATTGCATAGGATTCTGGTAGAGCTCTCAACACTTTCAAAACTAAACTGTCTTCGGTGAATGGACGCTTCAGATTTTCAGCTTCGTTTGCCAGCTCCCTTACTCTTCCATGAAAATCAGCTATCCTTTCTTTATCATCGATACGCAGGCTTTCATATTTAGTCATAAGAATCTGGATTTTTGCTGTCTTGACTCTCTCGTCCCCTTCATGTGTAGTTTCGAGAATTTCCCAGGCTTTCTTGGCCTCAGTGCAGTTTGAGATGAGCCTATATTGTGAACTATCAACAGCCCCAAATAATGCATTTAGTGCTCTGTCGTTGCATTCAGCATCTTGGGCTTCTTCCTTTGAGTATTTTTCGAAAGTTTTGATCACTTTCACACCTTCTGCATCTGTTTCCGTTGGCTCTGTCCACCCAGTTTTTATGATTCTCCATACTCTTCCGCCTTGTGATTTCAAGAACGCTCTCATACGTCCTTTCCAAAAGTTATAGTTTGGTCCTCTCAACAGAGGTGGTCGTTGAACATTTGCACCTTCCTCCATATCTCCCATGATCGTCTTCTTCAGCTAATAACTTAAGCTGATTATGCTCTAATACCAATTGAAAGTTCTAAAGGCAACCTCCGTACTCAGTAAACCCACAGTTATTATAACAGATTTACAATAACCAGAACTCAGGACACACACACACGATGCTATAGCACTCTCTCTAACACAAAACAAAGTAAGGTGCAGAATAAAGTAAAGATGTAACACAGAGAAATTGTTTACGCAGTTCGGAAACTTTCCTACTCTGCGGGGCCCACATCCGTGTAACAGCCCTTCCACTAAATCACCGTAATGATTACACCTTCAATAACAATAGACTCAATCTATTGTATTGACTCAACCAACTTACGGATGACTTTGATAACAAACTCTGTTTGTATCATTCACTTCGGCTGATTACACCAACTTCATGCATCTGGATGTGTTACGACCCTTTTCCAGCACTTCATAGATCACCTGCTGGATAGCAGACCTTCCTGCTCTCTGAGACGTATTTTTTCCACTGATCAAAACAGATTGTCAAAGATTAACAACCCATGAATCAGACTTTGATCTTGGTAATTCTATGTTGCACAGGATCTTTCTCTCTCTCTCTCTCCGGCCATCATTCATAAGCAACGCAGTGATATATATATATACGTGGACAGCAACAAGAAACCCTAGTAGAGTCCTTCGCAATAACCATCAACATGTTGGATGACTTCTAGCTCGATCTGGACAAGTATGAGCATATCCTTCGTAAGTCCTAAACATGGCAGGACGCTACAATCCCAAGCCAACTAAACAACCCATACCTACTATTTGTTTTTGTCATAAGGATAAGGCCAACTAATACAGATCAAAATATAATAACCCCAGGCTACCCAGACTCTTGGTACGGCATACATACTATACTATAGTAACTAACAGGGGGGGCATGGTTGGTAGCAATGATGGGATTTTTAGCATTTTCCATGAAAGTATCTATGGAGAGAAAGAATTAATGACAAAATCTACGGGAAAGGAGGGACTAATATTCATTTCCCACGTTTGGCCATTACTGTCGCGGGCTTGCTTCCTAGGCCAGCTCTGGAAAGCGGTATTCTATACTCCGTATTTTCACACTGCCACAAAATACTCGCCACTATTTACCACTTTCCCCATGCTCCTCCTCCGCCACCTTCCACACACTCTTTATATATATACATTCCTAATAATTCCTTTCCATTTCATTTCATTAATAAAAAAATCTCTCTGGGCCGGGCCTCTCTTGCATGTTTAGTTGAACTAGGCAGTTAGTTATAAAGAAAGCGAGCCAGGAAAGATGATAAGTCTATTAGATTTCTACCATGTGATGACAGCAATGGTTCCACTGTATGTGGCCATGTTACTGGCGTATGGTTCAGTGAAGTGGTGGAAGATTTTCACCCCGGACCAGTGCTCCGGAATCAACCGATTTGTGGCCCTCTTTGATGTCCCTCTACTGTCATTTCACTTCATAGCAGAGAATGATCCCTACACTATGAACCTGAGGAGGTTCATCGCAGCCGATACCCTCCAGAAGCTCATTGTTCTCGGGGCCCTTGCAGTGTGGGCCAATTTCAGCAAGAGGGGCAGCCTGGAGTGGTCCATCACCCTGTTTTCCTTGTCCACCCTGCCCAACACCCTTGTGATGGGCATCCCTCTCCTGAAGGGGATGCATGGGGATTTCTCTGGGGGGGGGGGCTCATGGTCCAGATTGTGGTGCTCCAGTGCACCATCTGGTACACTCTGATGCTCTTCTTGTTTGAGTTCAGGGGCGGCAGGACGCTGATTTCGGTGCTAGTGACGACGTGTTTGGGCCAACCCCCAGGCCTTCTAACCACGAAGACGAGAGTACTAAGGCAAGATCTCATTTCTACCCGGCTCCAAACCCTGGCATGTTTTCGCCTTCAAACAAAGGGGCCAATAATCAAGTCATCACCAAGAAACCCAATAATAATCATGCACAGCTGCTAAAGGGTGGAGGAGAGGAGGGCGGGAAAGAAGTTCACATGTTCGTTTGGAGCTCGAGTGGGTCCCCCGTTTCTGATGTCTTTGGAGGCCGGAACAACCATGGAATTGCTCTAGACCAGCCTGCTAATAAGGAAGTCAGAGTCCACATTTCCCCCACCAAAGGTTTCATCATTTAATTTTGTTCCTCTGTCCAAATTATTTTAGTGAAATTTGCGGTGAATAGGACTAAAACATAAGTCATTTCCCAATGTAGGACTTAAACTTTTTTATTCCCTAAATAGGACTTATTAATGTCTAGGGAGAAGAATAATGTCCAAGTGATGCTGGACATTTAGTTGAATAATGACTAATAGATAATGACCAATGGTCGTACATTGGGAAATAAAAACATATGGTCCTATATTGAGAAAGTCATTATGTTTTAGTCCTATTTAAGTAAATTACCCATTATTTTACTCATACCATATTTGTATGTCCAATTAATCATTCTCTGTAGTTTCTTGAAATATATTCTCTTTCAATTTTTTGTTTTTCTTAACATATTTCCACTTTTTATTAAAAATCATTTTTAAACTTACGTTTTCTTATTTTACCTGTCACATTATACTTTTTGACTAATAATATATCAATCACATCTTACTTTTCCATATCACGTCAAGAGAAAATTAAAAAGTCAATCACAAATATACAAATATCCCATTTTATGAAGCCGCAGGTAGTAATGTTAGATTATTACAAAATCTTTCTTGGGGTTTTATGGATGAATTTGGTCAAGTTTTTGGTTGGATTAGAATTTGAAGGTAACAAGAAGATTGAAGGTATTGATTACAAGGAGATGATGAAAAATAAAGATGCAGAAATGAACAACAATGACAGAATTGTTGGAGGTGGGGAAGTCGTGGAAGAGTGGAAAGTGAAGGGCAGCCCTGGCCTCCAACAAGTGTGATGACAAGGCTTATATTAATCATGGTTTGGAGAACTCCAGCTTGCTCGGCCTTACTTGGTCCCTCCTCTCATTCAAGTACGGACGGAGACACGAGTGTGTACACACACATTCATCCTATCCCTTCATCATTTCATTATTTATTACTTCTGTTCCAGTTTTGAATTTTTTCAGTCAATCGTTCTCAACATTTGACATATATTAGTTAAATAAAATATACGGAGTATATTGTACTTCGTCCGTCTTTAAATATTTAACACATTTCAAAAAACGGGGCGAAATATCAAGTTTTTTAAGTCATTTTATTTAAATATTGGTATAAAAATAAAAAATAATATTTAAATATTTAAAAACTAAATGAAAAATTCTTCAAAATGAGAGGTGTCAAATAATCAATGAAAACGTACAAATAATCAATGAAAACGTACAAATAAACAAAAATTTCCGTGAATTTTTAACTAGAAAATGTGGTAAATATTTTGGAATAGAGGGAGTATATTAATTAGGTAAAATAATACTTTGAAAATATCTTATATAATCTAACAAAAATTATTTTTGAATCAATATCTAATATCATTTTTATTTAATTTGTAGTAAAAGTTTATAAATATTGATCGAAAAAATCAAAGGTGGACAAACACTCCAAAAGGGGAGTGTTTATTTATGAGTATTTACTTGCCCCATTGTACGTGTATTATACTCCCTCCGTCCTATAATGATCTTCCCGGTTCGCAAAACGAAGAAAAATCCAAAGTTTTTTCAATCTATTTTATTTAAATATTGGTATAGAAATAAAAAATAAAACATACATATTTAAAAACTACACCAAAAGTTCAACAAAACAAGTGGTGACAAGAATATTTTATTTTATCATATAGGCCATGAAAAAACACAAATAAATATAAATTCCCGTGAAGTTGGAATAGTGCTCTGGGAAGATCATTATAGGACGGAGGGAGTATTACCTTTTCCGTCTCACAGTATTTACCTACTTTTGACTTTTTTGGTCAAAATTGATAAATTTTTATTCCAAATTAAATAAAAATCATATTATATACAGATAAAAAAATACTTTTACTAGATTTATTAAATAAAATATTTTGAAAATATTAATATATCTAATTAATATGAAATATATGTNTTTCCAGTAAAAAATTATAATTGGGCAAATACTTAGAAAGGGAGATATTATTACCCAGCCATTCATCTTTAATTAAAACGGATGAGTTTGGACAATGCTGGCTACTTGCTTGCAGATGGAATGTAGAACAACAACAACAACAGCCCAGTTAAATCCAACAAGAGTAGGGTCTGGGGAGGGTGTGTGTACGCAGACCTTGCCCCTACTCGAAAGTAGAGAGGCTGTTTCCAAAGAGACCCCCGGCTCAACATCGAAAGTTGCAGTGTTTGACTAACTGCTACTTCATTAATTAAAGAAGCGCAGATAGTTTAGAGATCCATTTTGATTTATTCCATCACACCCCAAAGCCAAAAATGGTGAAATTTTGACTCCATCGGAGATGATGGAATGTAGAGATGCCTGCAATAATTGCAAAGTCCATTTCTATTCTTTCAGATGCTGGTCTTGGCATGGCGATGTTCAGTCTGGGTAACTCTCAATCTATTTTAAATTTTAATATATTCTCGTTGTTCCGGATTCCTATTATTACACGTACTACATTACTGAATTCAAAAATAAACTTTTTAAGTTATTTGAGACTATTTTCTTCTCTGATCTTGGTATATACTCCCTCCGTCCCGGAGTATTCGTCCACTTTTGACTTTTGGACTGTTCATCTAAGCACTTTGACTCATCAAATTCTCTCAATGTGTAAGCCTAAATATAGTCATGTGTGATCTTATTTGATTTGTCTTAACATATACTCCCTCCGTTCTCAAAAACACTTCCTCTTTCTATTAAAAAACCACTTTTACCCTTACTTTTTCATACTCTACCTATCACATCATACTTTTTTTCTAATAATACATCCATCACATCTTACTTTTACCCATCACATCAGGGGCAAAATTGGAAATCAACTATAATTTTACACTTCCTTAATTTGCCTTATTTTCAAAGTGGGAAGGGTTTTCCCAAACGGAGTGTGTAGATTATTAATATATAATTTCTATAATTTTTTAATATACAAATTACAAGATAAAATGGACTAAAGAAGTGTATTGGATGGTGTGTAAAAATAAAAATGGACAGATACTCTGGGACAGAGGTAATATAATCCAAAAAATAGTACGTAGTACTCCGTATGTTTGTGAAAGAAAACGTGACGTATTGTTCTATTCATATTCACATTTTTTATATCAGTTCTTTTTGTTACTCATCTATCCCTAAATGAATTGTACTCTATTCAAAACGAAATAAATTAAAAATTCTACAAAATAAAATATGATAAGAGTATTTCATTAAAAAAACCTTTGACATTGTATATCCAAGAAAAAAATCAACCCCCTATAATACTTTTTAATGGAAATTTCAGAAAAAAATTATGGTATGAAATATGTATGTATTTATTTATTTAATTGAATATTGTATTGTAACACCCCAATCCGTATAACCCGGAATTACACGAATTTAGGTGAAACGAGGGATAAATAAAAATTTCGCTTGACATTTGAAAATGACAATTTCTTATAAATATTAAATTTACAGATTCTGGATCGCGACCCATTTAAAAATATTTTCAGAGTAATGCGGAAGTACAATAATAATCAAATCATGACACATTTTAAATCTGATGATCAAACATTTGCCTGCCATCCTTGCATCTCCTCTGACTCAATGCCCTCCGGGAGTGGTTTCATCATTGTCTTCTTGTTACCAACGTGTAGTCAACGAAAAATACAAACTACACGCTCAGCGAAACCGCTGAGTGGTACCACGCTAGAATTGTAGAATAATTCACAGACATATACATATACATATATATATATGTCCACAAAAATGTATAACAATATTCCTGATATGGCACATTATATCATATGGTCAATTTGATGATTCATGATGATAAATATTTAATAATAATAACATGATGGTACATTTAATCAATTTGTTTATGAGGATGATTACATGACACCTATGTAATCAATAATTGTTCTTGATGATGATTACATGACACCTGTGTAATCAATATAATTATTCTTGATGATGATTACATGAAACCTATGTAATCAATGTACTTGATGATGATAACATGATGCATGAACCTATAACCCACAAGGGACGACCTTGCCCTATGAGATTCGCCCATTTGGTACGACGAACTCATGCCACCTTAGTCTCACAAGGGAGACTAGAAAAATAGGGGTGGTACTCGAAAGCCTGAATACCATGTACGTACACTAAGCCCGGTCAGTGATGTCGGACTGCTAAGTCCCGCACAATCACAGCTATAAGAGACGCAATTACGCATGATCTCTTACGCATGCATATGATATGATATGCTACAATATGTGTGATGATATGAGTCATATGATATGAGCAATTTGTAAATAATATGAATGGATAAATATACTTTATTTTATTTGGGTGAAATCTGATAAAAATATCATTTAATTAAGCTACGGGGCTCGGAACGGTCGACCGTTTGGCGCGACGGTCGACCTTGATCTTCATCAGGTCGGATTGGCGATTCACCGT